ATCTTACCTTGGTCTTGAAATGTTTGTAGAGGTCTTGGGAAGGTTTAAAAGGTAAGAAAAACCCTAAAAACAGCAATTTTCTTGTTCACATATAAACGGCTGTATGGTTGTCGCTGAAACTTGGCATAGATGTAGAATATAGTCTGGAAGAACACATAGCGTATTAATTATGTTTTTGTAATATACCGTGGACGGAGTCGCGGGCGGCAGCTAGTTATATAAAAATAGTTAGTTGCATATCTGAGTTGTATAAACGTAAGTCGCTCTTAAAACATCCTAAGTATACTGCTATAAGTAAATGCAGGAGGTTGCGTACAGTTACGGAATGCAAACAGGTAGTCTGTTTTGGTATTATATCGTAATATCTATTACTACGTGTTTTTATTTTCTTTTTATAATTGCAGAATACAAAATAACTAATTAACATATATGTCCGATTTTTTTTGCATAATATCAGTATTAAGTAATATGTTTATTGGCCTTAATAATGTAAAGTAGTAATGTCGATCGATTTTATATGAACAGTAAATATATTCCGATGTTCTACATATTAGTATTGGCTTTCACTGCAGAAACTGCTGTATCAAACATATTTCTCTGGTTTTCTATGTTTTTATAAATATTCATCAGTGGAAACCCATTGTTAAGATTACGATTAAAAAGCAGTTAATGAATGAGTATCTACAAACTTATAAAGTATTTTTGAAATAAACGTTACTTTGTTTCATTTTAAAATAGTTTGATTTCCTAGTACATAAACTAAATAGAAAAAAATTAAAACATACATTATTACGAAAATTAATTTCAAGTTTTTACAAAATTTTTACATAATAACTTTTAAAGTTTATAATTACGTATATTTTTAAAAATTATAATTCCATTCGTTATTAACCGTCCGTAAAATTACATATACGTTTAAATACGTTAAAAAGTATTACAAATTATAGACATACTGTAATAAAATTGACAGTTTAATTAACTTTTATTTATATATTTTACTAATATTAAAGAATGTCAGAATGAAATCACCATCTTGAACAAAAATCACCTTTTATAAACTTACGATCGCAACAATAAAAAGCTGTTAACTTTATTAAGCTTTTCATCTTACTTTAAGTTATGTTTATGTTATTCTTTAACAAAATAATGATAGAATTATGACGTCACGATTATTTATTGACTTTGAAAGAGCATTACAATATAAGATTAATAGAGCTTTTTATCTTTTTAAATAGCTTTTATGTTTTATCCTGATTGACAACCCTAAGCTAGTTTGGACGTTACGTATAGTTTCGTCAATAAAATATAAATCATCGTGCCTTTCACCTGCCAAATTGTTGTTCCAAAGAACATTCGGGAAGCTATGTTTTGTGTCATACATTGAAATCAAAACCATAACACCGTGACCACTGTAGTGAACTTGTATCGACACTTATTGTAGTCTCTGTTTTATGAAAGAGAATAAGAGGGATAGCAATATGGGTCAGTGCAGTGAAAACCTAAAGTAATATAGATAAGCAAAAGTTTAGATGGATGATGTTAGAAAGTATCTCCGGAATTGCATAACGGATTTCGATGATATTTTGCACACATGTAGAACATAATCTGGAAGAACACATAGGTTACTTATTAAGTTTTTATTTAATTCCCCGCGGACGGAGTCGCGGGTGACAGCTAGTGTTATAATTTGTTAATCTCATCAAGAGTGTATAGCCATTTAAATTTCACATCCTGGTATTAAGGATCAAAGATTTTATTTTTTATGGGATAAATGGTTTCCTAAGAGCCGTATTTAATTAAATATATTGGTTTGCTACTTTCAATTAACTTTTTATTTGATTGCATAATAAATACAAGATTGCTATTCGTATTCTATTTTTAGGAATTTCATAAGTTTCCAATTTCGTTCTAGTTGACAGGAGGCGTTATACTATAATAATATATTCATTTCACAAAACGTCTAGTATGTGAGAGTGAGGTCGTTGCAGAATTTTGAATATTAATAGAAATTTTCCATAAATTAACATAATCTTGAATTATAATAGCATTATCATAATTGTTATCTAACTTGAAGTAAATAATTTCACGATACGAAAAAAAAATTGATTTCTTAATTAACTCTAGGATTTTGTAACTGTAATTTTATATTACATTAAATTATATTTAAGAATATAATTTTGTAAATAAATAATTTTATTATAAACTACTCACATATCTTACTAATTTAATATATCTTATATCTTTAAATGAGCAATTCTTGTATATATATATATAAAATCATATATATATATATATATATATATATATAATTGGAATCTCGGAATCGGCTCAAACGATTTTCATAAAATTTAGTGTATAGGGGGTTTCGGGGGCGATAAATCGATCTAGCTAGGAATCATTTTTAGAAAATGTCATTTTATTTGTGTTTTATCGATAATCAACTTAAACATAAACTTAATTTTTTCTATCTCTAAGATAGAAAAATATTATTCATATTTCATCATTTTATTAGTAATTCGTACTTAAATATAATTTCCAAAAAACGCAATTTAAAAAAAAAACGGAGCAAAGCTCCGGTCATCCAGGTACTTAATGTTATAAATGCGAATATTTGGATGGATGTTTGTTAGAAGTTATCTCCAGTTCAACTGTTTGAATCTGGCTGAAATTTGACACAGATGTAGAACATATTCGGGAAGAACACACAGTTGCGGGCAACAGGTACTTAGATGATATTTATATTGATAAATTCTATAGTGCCTAGCTTCATAAATATTAATTCCCTCTCCATTATCTACCGCATCTACCACGGGGAGTGCTCTAATGAATTGTTTGGAACGATTCCTGCCGCCAAGTTTCGTCATCGGACGACACGACAGACCGCCAGGTTCCATCCACACCATTTCGATGTTTGCACGTAACTTCCTGCTTCGCACAGCAGCGTTGTGGATTGGTCTGTCTTCGGCGGTATTTCCAAACCGCTACGACTTAGTGTTCTTTAAGAAGCGAGCGTATCATCATCTCAAAGGCCGGCAACGCATCTGCGGTTCCTCTGGTATTGCTGATGTCCATGAGCGTCGTTGAACACCTCCGTGTTCCCGATGCTCGTTTGCCCCCTTCTTTAAAAAAAAAATATTCCAATGTGAATAATTTTGCATAATAACTTTTTTTATTTTATTATTGATAAATCTCCATTTAAGTAGAATGTGTTTAATAAGTAAATATTTATTTTATTTTAAACAAGAACTATTGTTATTACGTTATATTATTACCCAACGAATATAAAATATTCAAACGAAGCACTAAAATAAAAATAAAATATGTTTAGAATTTTTAATCACATATCCATTTATAATATTTACTTAGTTACTTTAGTTTATATCTTACTAATATAAATGCGAAAATTTCGATGGATGTATGGATGGATGTTTGTTACAAGGAATCTTCAGAAAGGCTGCATAGATTTCGCTGAAATTTGGTTCAGAACATAATCTGGAATAACACATAGGCGACAAAGTTTTTTTTTTATTTCACGCGAACGTAGTCGTGGGCTGCAGCTAGTGTTTTATATATTTGGAATTTATTATTAATACCCGAAGCTTTTAAGATTTAATTCTCATGTATTGGCTATCTTATAGCCACATTGAAAAAAATTAATATGATTCATCATAAATTTGCTTGCAATCTTTTCGCTTATTTTATTCCTTTCACTTTGTTCTTATTTATTGCGAATTTATAGACAGACGAGATCTCATTACGAAGTTTAATAATCACATATCCTATAGTTAGTAGTGTGTAAAAATTATGTATATTACAATATTAAACGTAATTAATTTCGTCACAACAAAATGTGATATTTATGCTAATTTTATCTTACATAATGTGAATATTGGACAAATGCAGTAAAATACGTTTATATTGATCAACCTTTCATTTTTAAGTAATTCAGCGAAGTCTGGTTTTTAATTTAATATTCTTTCTAACAAATTCGGATATAATCACTGGTCTTGTAACACATTTTTAATAAATGAAAAAAAAAATATGCTCGTTTTAATTATTTACAATTTTTATTTACCTCCACTAAATAAACATTTCAACACATATAGAAGATGTTGCTTCTCGTCTAACATTTCTATGAACCTTTGTACAGATAAGTTTGAATTTAACGTAAACAAAATTAATAATGTGCCAATAGCTTAAAAATGAACAAGCGCAAAATAAACTGAACACACTAATATTCTTTCTGTCATTATCGAATAAAATCTACTTAATCGTTTTCTAATTTATTTTCCATTTGTCTTTATAGCATTTTTTTACGAACTGTTATTTTTACAAATCATGACCTTGCACATATTTGAAACATGCATAGTCATCTACAACGATTAAGGGCAAACACTCACGATCCAGTTTTACCTGTAGCCGATATAAAAAATTGCGGGCGCAAATCGCATCGTGGAAATGGAAACATTTTTTTACATACATACTACGAAAGCCACGGACGCCGCAACCGCATACGGCAGCGGGTAACCGGATCGTAAGTGTTTAAGAGTACAGACCAAAGTAGAAACATTGTAGTGAGTAGCTTACAATTTTTATTAAGAACATTTCAATCAGATAAAGGAGTACATGATCTATACAAAGTATAAATGTGATTATGATAGAAGTGTGAATGCATTTTTAATTTATTAAATTTTATCGTCTAATTAATTAAGATACATTCTGTTTCCGTTCACAATATGACGTCAAAATCGATGTCGTGTTATATGGATATAAAATTAGAAGGAAATTATAAATCTAAATACAAAACTTTAAATAGCAAACGTCAGTTTCCATTGCCTACTTGTACGTAAACATATACTTATTCCTTTCATTCCCTTTTAAAAGACAGAGATAACAATATGTAATTTTGTACAAATGTTTTATCAGTGGAAGCTCAAAGTCAATGTTCTTTTATACCTCAGTTATAATAAACATATAAATATTTTATTATTTTTTTACAGAAATGGCTTCAGTTAGAGAGTTTTACAAAGAGAAGAATGTACTGCTCACTGGTGGTACGGGATTTATGGGGAAAGTTCTCATTGAGAAGCTTTTATATTCCATACCTGATATCGGCAATATCTACGTTCTGATGAGACCGAAACGTGGAAAGTCTGTTAAACAACGTTTGGAGGAGATGTTAAGATTACAAGTAAGTCAAAATTAATTATTTTAATTTGTGACGTGTATTTTCTTTAAAAGATCTACGATTAAAGGTTTGTTATTGCATAATGATTAGATATACATACCACACGCTTAAGACTGTTTAATACAGATTTATGTTTGATTTAAAAGATTTTTGTTAATATTAGCGCTAAATTTCAATATCTTATTACTAGTGACTGTTGTCAGACGATAAACGATTACATTTTAAATGCTTTTAACTAATATCTATTTTCAGGAATTTGGCTGGAAATATAGAAGTACAAAAAGCTTAAATAATTTAAAAAATTACATGCATATTTCTTTTACATGCTCATATTTTCAAAATAATTGCTTCCAATTTTTTATATTATATTTTTTTCTTCTTTTTTTAACACTCCTAAATTGACTTCGGGGTATTCGCTTCAAAGTAAGTTAATTTAATATTATATGAAATAACATCAATGAAGACGGGGAGTATTAACATTACTTAAGTATTTTTTTTAAAGTTAGTCAATGGAAATAATATATAGTGTATATGAATCTAAAGAATTAGCTGTCAATATTCCACTTTCACACCCACACTTGGCCAGCGTGATAGACTATGGCCTAATCACCTTTAACTTAGGGTAGGGTCGGAGCCCCTCGGTGGGGAGGCATAGTGATGATGATACCACTTTTGGTGTCTAAAATAGAACAAAAAATAAGAAAATGATCTTCATAACGGATAGATATACCAAAAAGAATAATAAATATGAATTTAATGTCAAAAATCCTTGTTTTTATGTTATTATATATATTTTGGTGTTATTATGGCTACCTGTTTAGATAGATTAAAAGTTATTTAAATGTTTCAGTTATTCGACAGAATCAGAAATGAACGACCAGGTGATCTTAAAAAGGTTAAACCCTTACAAGGCGATGTTCTGTTCGATAACTTTGGATTATCGGACTCTGATATTGATAACTTGTCAAAGGAGATATCTATACTGTTCCATTTCGCGGCAACATTAAAACTTGAAGCACCTCTGAAGGACAATGTAGACATGAATACGTGCGGAACTCTACGGACCGTGAACATTGCTAAAAGACTAAAAAATCTATTAGCCTTCATACATCTTTCAACTGCATTTTGCTATCCGGATTACGAAATTTTAGATGAAAAGGTACAGTACATAATAACTTTATAAACAATAATATTACATTCTAAAATGGCGTCTTGTTTATCGGGCAAACAATTATTGCATAAAAACCCTTACATAATTAAAAACATTATTTAAATCAATGAAATTGGTTGAATAACAATTTAAAGTGAAGTAACAATTTTATAATTTACTAATTTCAAAAGTAAAACCAAATTGAGTTTATATTACGTGCTGTTAATTATATTCTGCTTAATCTTTCCTTTCTCTTTCCATATCATATGCTATTGGTTTAGACTTACCCAATTTGTACTACGTTATAAAATAGTGATTATTCACATTACAGATGCATGCCCCGCCGGTGAAGCCCGAGGATGTTATGAGATTGATCCAATGGATGGATGACAAACAGCTGGCCCTAATCACACCATCGTTGTTGGGCCCCCATCCCAATTGTTACACTTTCTCCAAGCGACTTGCTGAGAACATTATTGAGCAAGCCTTCGATGACCTTCCAGCTACCATAGTGCGGCCGAGTATAGGTAAAGTATTCATTAAATAAAAAATAATGGCTATCAGTAAATCCCAATGTCCCAAGTTTTTTGAGCCCTAAAGTGCTTTCATTTTACAATTGACCAATAGTTTTCACCTCATGTTCATCTACTCGTGAGATACACCAGTCCACATTTCGACCCACGCAAAGAAAACACATACATCTTTTAAAGGACCTCATAGAAAGTAACTCTTTTCGTTCGATCGATTCACATTACTGTTCAATCCAACTAGGTATATCTTAGGTGTCTATGTAATGGTATCGGATGGGATTGTGGTCAAGCTCTAATATATATATTAATCATTAACTTCTAGTGTGCCCGGCCTATTTAGAGCCGTTACCTGGATGGGTGGACAGTCTTAATGGTCCAGTGGGCTTGATGCTGGGTGCCGGCAAGGGAGTCATCCGGAGCATGCTATGCGATGGCAGTCTAACTGCACAAGTCATACCAGTTGATACTGCTATCAATGCTATCATCGCCATTGGAATGTTAGAAGGAACAAGAACTGAGAAGTAAGTGTTTTATATCTAATTGCCAAAAAATGCCCTAGTCAATCTACATTTACTAGTCTTTTTGATACACTATTATGTCAATATCAGTACTAAAAGTAGCCATTTTTCAGACCTCTAGTTATTCCTATTTACAACGCAAATATAGGACATCAAAAACCTACCACGTGGGGCGAAGTTTTACAGATCGGTAAGGACTATGGTCGGAAATATCCGCTGGCTTGGCCGCTTTGGTATCCCAACGGAGATATCACAACCAACGAAACATTGCATTTCTTCCGTCGTATATTCTACCATTTGGTACCAGCATACACTATCGATTTTCTACTGATGCTACTTGGTCAAAAAGGCTTGTGAGTATTCCTCAGTTTCATTGACATATACTTTTCATAGCTTTACACATAATCAGAATTGAAAGAGATGAAGAAAGACTTATTTAAAAAGTCCTGTCTAATATTACGTCATGTCTAATCTCGAAACCAATAGTTCTTTACGTTACTGATATAAAATAGCAAACTATTCTTTACCTCCAATCGAAAAATAAAAGGTTCCCTTCTCGTTCGTCAGCAGAAATAAAATATTTATTATGACCAACATAAGACTACCCAAATACTGTTTCTTACCGAAATCTATTTATATCGTTACAGCATGGTAAGGATACAGAATCGTATCAGCCAGGGACTTGAAGTTCTGCAATACTTTACTATGAGGCCGTGGGTGTTTCCTTGCCCGAACTTTGATAACATACAAACAAAATTGGAAGGCGAAGAACGCAGGATCTTCAACATAGATCTTACTGCGGTGGATCGTGTCAAGTACCTCGAAGACTGCATAGAAGGTGGTCGAATCTTTTGCTTCAGGGAAGATCCAACTAAAATCCCGTACAATAGATCTTATCATAATTTGTAAGTATGATATTTAAGAGTAAATACAATTAATCTTCAAAGTTTTTAGAGGACAATAACCTTTTTTCAGTTATCTTACTAATATAATATATAATGCGAATGTTATGATGTATGGATAGATGGATGTTTGTTAGAAGGTAAATCAAAAACGGCTACATGAATATTACTGAAATTTGGCATTTACGTAGAACATAGACCAGGAAGAACACATAGGTTAATTATGTTTTTTAAGCCTGTGCGAACGGAGCCGGGAGCGACAGCTAGTATGTGACATAAAGTGATAGCCAATATTATCGTAATCGTGATCCAAATGTTTAAATCTTTTTTTCTTTTTCCAGCCTTTACGTGCTCGATTGGATTGTGAAGATATTATTCGGGCTGTTAATTCTATCATTTTTAGCTTCGTGGTTTGAGCCTGTTAAGGACTTGTTTTCGATCGGTGAACCAGTTATAAAGCACCTACCATTTTTAGGTCCGGCTGTCTTCGATAAAAGAATGTAAAACGGGTTATCAAAAAATGATATCTTAAAAACATATTATGCAAACAAAGTCAGTGAGATAAGTCAGTCAAAACAATCAATAGATAATTCACAGTAACTGGCCGCTTATGTTTATAATTATTTACTTGTTTAAAGTTTCAATTTATGTTATGGTTATTTGCCCAATTAAATGCATTTTATATAGAGAAAAACATTTGATAACTGTTGTTAGGGTTCCGTACCTCATAGGAAAAAAACGGAACCCTTATATTATCACTTAATTGTCCGCCCGTCCGTCTGTCAAGACCCCTATTCTCAAAAACGCGTGAAAGTATCAAGCTGGAATTTATTTTTAATATACTTTTAACAAGATCAGTCATCGCCCATTATTCGAAATTCGACTATACACGCTTTATTTAAGGTCGAACTATCATATTTTTTTTAATTGAAATAAAACGAAATTATGCACTTCTCCAAATTCTCGGGGAAAAAGGACAACGGCACGGCTCGCCATATTCCGTCTCCCGAGGTTCGTACAGCCACGCTAAATGGAAGTCTGTGGTATGTTTCTGGGTTAAAATCGTGTTCTCCATTAAAAAGAAAACAACTCACACAAAGTACTTGGTACAATTACCTTAAAGAGGTATAAGATTTTCGTATCATGTAATATAAATATTTTTGTGAGTACATCTAGTATAAGATTAATTGTAAATATTTAGGTATATAAGCTTATTATGGGAAGCGGTAAAAGTAATCACAGTATTGTTTCATATCTAGGTAAGGTAGAAAACTAACAATTTTTTTATTATGTTACTAAAAAAAAATCTATAAAATAAGTTGTATATTTTTTTTATCTATTTTTATAAACTTTTACAATTGTTATTATGATTTTATCATTAAATGTATTATAGGTATATTGTTTTTATTGGATAATTAATAAAACAACGCAAAATGATTTAAGTGTTTAATTTCATGATAATTAAAAAAAACAATGTAATCAAAGCAATAGCATATGAATCGTAGTAAACTTGAAAATATTATCAGTGATTGAGTTTTCTCTAAAAAAAAAATTTCTTACAAAATAAAAGCTTAGAAAGGAACAATTTTTAATAGTACAGTAAGCATTTCAAAATATATGCAATGTAACTGCCTCTAATTGATATAAATAAAAAAAAAAGTTTTTACTTGAATCTGTAAGAATTAAAAAAAAAATATATATATATGTAACAAAATTATTTGCATTTAATATAACTTATTACTGAGTTTAATAAAAAATTAAACTAGTATTATCCATGATATAATTAATTGAACAAGAATATAATTATTTAAAATATAAATTAATATGTAAATAACAATGATAGTAAATTATTTTCATTTTAAACAACTTTATGCAACAAACAAACACTATTGGCAGATATTTTTTTCAATAAATTTAAATATTTTATTAAATTAGTGTTAGATATATGTGTTTTATTATGGCATTATACTAACACATATATTTTAAATATATTCATAAAATGTAATCGTATCATTGTTGCAAATTAATAATAATTAATTCATTTTATTACACGGAAACTCTCACATGTATGTTTGCGTAATCCATTTAATATTCTACAATACAACATGAAAGATGATAATTGTATATATCTTTTACTCTTTGGAAGGCAAAGAGTAAAATACATTTCACATTAAGTTACATAGATTTATAATTTGCAACATTGATGTTTACATAAAGAAATGCTAATATAAGGATATAAATTTACTTAGTAGCGTTAACAATGTTAACAAACTCCGGTTTCAAACTGGCACCTCCTACGAGGAAGCCATCAATATCTGCACAACTGGCTAATTCCACAGCATTGGCAGCAGTGACAGAACCACCATATTGAATGCGTACAGCATCAGCGACTTGAGCTGACACATTATTTGCCAACCAGTTACGTAATGAGGCATGCACATCTTGAGCCTGTAGATAATTTTAATATCAATAAATGTTTCAATTAAACGTATTATACCGCAAACTTAACAAATCTTGATGAAGTTTAGCAAAGATGTATAACATATTTTGGAAGAACACATAGGCTATTCACTAAGTTTTTTTTTTAATTACGAGCGAACGGAGTCGTCATCTACTCATAAATGAAATGAAGAAACAAAAACCTCTAGATAAAAGATGTCTATGGCTGAATAAATTTATCCTAATTTAAAATAACACACTGAAACCTCTTTTCTAACAACTAGCAATAACAAGCCTTACCTGCTGCGGTGAAGCAGTTTTTCCGGTACCGATAGCCCAGACTGGTTCATAGGCAAGCACAACATTAGCCCATTTGTCACCAATAGCTGGCACCAATGCCTGAGTCTGCCTAAATACAACTTCCTCAGTCTTTCCAGCCTCCCTTTCTTCCAAGGTCTCACCAATGCAAGCGATCACTTTCATGCCAGATTCAAGGGCATGTGCCACCTAAAAATATCAAAAAGTCAATATACAGAACTACATTTAATTTCAATGTATAAAATTCAAATAATACATACTTTCTCAGCTACAAGGGTATCGTCTTCATGAAAGATTGTCCTGCGTTCCGAATGTCCAATGATAACCCAGTTAACACCAATGTCTTTCAACATAGCGGGTGAAATTTCACCTAAAAATACACATGCAAGGATGACTAAAGATTTTTAAAAATGTTATGGTTGATACCTGGTTTCTTACTTATTTTTTCTTTAGTGCAAACTCCAGTATCTTTATACAAATATTCACTAAAAGTACATTATTTTGCGGTGCAAGTAATCAAACAGAACAGATGCAAACAAAGCCATATTTTAAAATAGGGCAAGATGCTTTTGATAATGTAAATCTTATAAAATACTAATTAACAATAAAAATCATTGGTAACTAACTATGATATAAAAACATTTTTACCTGTGAAAGCACCCTTTGGAACTTTCCAGCAGTTTTGTGCAGCAACTTGGATTGTATCGGGTACAATACTCTTTACATAAGTAAGGTAGATGGAAGGTACCCCAATAATTACCTGTGCACAAAAGTTCTCAATTAAAAATTGTGCTTACATTTTTATAAAATAAGTTACACAAATACTGGGAAATAGTAAAAATACAAACATATTGGGACATAATTGGGTCATTAAACTTGTAAATCACAAGTGCAACAATAATAGCACTCAAGGTCAAAATGTCATACTAACACTTCAATGCCTTTAATTTTTTTATCCGACATTAAAGTTATGCAAGGAGGGTTTAAATATTATACCTCAACTTCCTTATCCAAAGGACCTTTCTTCATATTATTTATAATTTCATTGATCATATTTTTATCTCCATTCATCTTCCAGTTACCACCAACGACAAATTTGCGGGGCATTTTGGCGATTATTTATCTAAAAATTAAAATGTGTTATGGATTAAAAGAAAAAAATTTAAATAGTTATGTCAGAATATGCCAATGACTAATTATAATGGCTTACTTAAGTTTAGAAATAATTTATAATGACAAACACTGTGCTTACACCTCTTGAATCTTTTCCCGAGTAACAGTAATCGGTGAATCCAATATCTCTTCGTCTTCTACTTGTTCTGCAAAATTTTAAGTTTGATTTCGGTTGCATTAGTTATGTCAATCAAAATTTTACCTTTGATCTATTCGCTAAAATTCAAAGAAATGGATTTTAAGCCAATCACAAGTAAGTCGTGGCTGACAGTTGAAACAACTAAACCTACTTTATATGACCTTTATGACATTGACAAAGTCAATACAAACTTGCCGGTTCGGTAGATGTTCAATCTCCACTCTGTAACTAGGGTTACCATCTATTAAATTATGTGCGTATTGAATGTAGTCTAAAATTCTTTCAAAAACCGTGTAAACAAACCTTTTATTTTGTAGTATAATTAATTTTTAGAAAAAAAATATTTATCTTGTTTACTTCAAGTTAGACCTATATTCAGTTGACAGACAAGCTAACTTACATAATATTTTTTTACTCTTTAGCAGAAAACTATCGACGCGTGGAAGGACGTCGACATCGACAGCCTGTTAGAAATTAAACGCCCATCACTATTGCTCTTTCAAAAAATTTCCTTGTATATAGCAAGTCAATCAAATGTTAAAACTAAAACTTTGTTTGAGAAAAAAATAATTGAAGTCAAAACATTTTACTAGGTTGTGCTTAGTTACAATTTATTTGCTTCATTAATTAATATTACCGTGCAATTGTGTTGGAGCTGTGTTAAATCATGCGATATCAACATTTGTTACGAGTGAGTAAAAGCCGGCATTACGTGTTTATATTTATTCGGAACTTTTACTGTATTTATAAAATAAAACAGAGCAAGACCTAACTAGAACCTGTTTAAAAAATAGGAATGATCCAGAATGACAATATTTCAGACACTATTTTGATACTAATTAAACATTTTGAAAATACCCCGTTATCTAAAACAAAAAACTATCTCTGACATTGTTTATTATGTTTTATTTTATTAACGTCAATACTTTTATGGTGAAATAAGTGCGCGGCTTTGCGGAGACATAGTACGATAATGCGTTTTCTTAAAAAAGATTAAATTTTTCGAATTTTGTTTGAAGTTCGCCAATTCTTAACTTGTATGCCGCGTGGCGAATTATTTTGGGTGTTATTAGTAAATAAATTAATCATCGGTTGCTTGCGTTAGACATTGCGAACTATTTATTAAAAATAATTAAAAAGTACTGATGTCATACATTCGACTATAGGCCTGTGCTGAACTTTTAAAAGTTTTATATTCTATTTATGTTAATGTATTCTTTTGTACCTAGCTTATGCCAGTTTAGATCTCCTAAATGAACTGTTCCTTTCACAAATACTTACTTCAAGTCAGTAAATAACATCTCAAGTTTAAATGAATCATCAGCTTTAAGGAATCTAGTGTTTGCAGTTTAAGTTTAATCTAATTAAAAATTATTTTTTTACAGCTGTTTATATATTTGTGTCTATGTATGCAAACATTGGTTCAAGCGAAAAAACAAAAAACCAATCTCATAACACAAACCAATGATATAAAGGAGTTCAAAAAGTTACTAAGAACCAAAACAAATGTATTGGTTTTATTTGTTAATGAACCAAAAACATCTCAAGCTATTGTGGATGTTTTCAAAGAGACTGCAGATGCGATGAAAGGAAAAGCAACTTTAGTGTCCATTGATTGTAGCAACAGGTGAATAGTTTTATCTAGTTGTTGCCAAAGCTTCCTATATATGTTTTTTATCCATAAAAAAGAGTTTACTTATGAAATTTTATGTTTTTTCATTGAGTCATTCTGAAGTAAAATTTTAATAAACATCCATCCAAGCATCCAAACTTTTGTGTTTTCTAAATCAATTTTCCATTATTACAGCGATGGTAAAAAACTATGCAAAAAGTTAAAAGTTAGTAATGAAAAACCATATCATATCAAACATTATAAAGATGGCGAATACCACAAAGATTATGACAGGGGTGAGACTGTGTCTGCCTTTTGCAACTTCCTGCGTGATCCTACAGGTGACTTGCCTTGGGAGGAAGATCCTAAAGCAACAGATATATTTCATCTCCAAGATGGCGAGGTAATATTGTGCAGTTTTTTTTATAAATAACTATCAGATTCAACTTTTAATGATGCCAGTAGAAGTAGACCAAAAATTGATGGGATTGTGTATGATTCAAAGATTCAATTTAACTAGGTTTCAGCTATTTTAATATGAATTATTGTATATTATTAATCCATGACTACTGTAAAGAAGTCATCGTCCATGCTATGCTGAGCTGGCTACCCCTTGCCACACCATTTGTATACTTTTTTGCTGTTGTGACATTAAGCTTTGTGTGCGATATGTAAAAAAAGATATTGGCAGAAAAACATGGTGTATCTTAACAATTGAAAATGTTAATATAATAATTAGTCTTTATATTATAATCAATATTAACAGCAAGTAAATTATTACAGGCATTAACAAAATTCTTGAAGAAGGGTATGGCATCTTATAAGAGATCTTTGATTATGTTCTATGCACCTTGGTGTGGGTACTGCAAAACATTGAAACCTGAGTATGTTGCTGCCGCTGCAGATTTAAAGGTAATTTGAATACACACAATAAAGAATCATCATGTATTTTTTCTTTGAATTAATGACAGGAAAAGTATTAAATTTTATTTATATAACTCAGTTCCACATATTTGTTTTAGGGTGAAGCATTGCTCGCAGCTATTGATGTTGCTAAGCCAGGAAACTCGAGAATAAGGCAGCAATACAATATTACAGGATTTCCCACCCTTCTATATTATGAGTAAGTATTTAATATTGTATATTGTTAACTAAAATATCTTGATAACTATAAAATAACTTAATAACTTGACTTCGTCAGTGCAGGCTTTAAAAAAAACTTAATTAATAGCCTATGTGTTCTTTCACATTAAAATCTACAATCTATGCCTAATTTCAGCAAGATTCATGCAGACACATGAGATACCTTCTACATTCCAACATTCACATCACAAGATACCTATAAATATCCATCCATCCAAACATTCACATTTATAATTATTATAAAATGCTATTTTACAGGAAGGGTCAGTTTAGATTCCCATATAATGGTGACAATAAACATCAAGCAATTGTTGATTTCATGAGAGACCCACACTCACAAGTACATCAAAAGAAAAGTGAGGTGGACGATGAAAGTTGGTCACAGGATTCGGATGTAGTGCATTTAACAGGTTAGTAAACAAACTGTTTACCATGAGTTTCTAAGACCAAAACTCCCCATTTAAAACATATTGTTATTTCTCTTTGTCGAAGATTTTGTTTTCTCCGTTAGACAAATTTATCTGGTCCCAAAGTTGCATCATTTTCTTCAAGAAAGTTTGATTTCTGGCAGAAGTAAAGGTGATCACAGCACAACTACAAAGTTTCTGTTTTTTTTTTGTATGACATTAATAACTCTTTGCCATGAAGTGTCAATGACACCTTCTTTATGTCACTTTGTAATCAAAATCTGTAAATTAAATACAATGCATTTTTGTAAAATAATCAGGAATCTAAATGTAACATATTGTTTTAAACGTAATATATCAAATCTTGCTATCCATCAATCGCAGTATCGTAAGTTATTCTTATATGTAAATAATGTTATATATTTATTATATATTTAAGAATGGGTAAATTTACTAAAGTCTATGATTTATTTTGTAAGGATATACTGTGAGTTTCCATTGTTGTAACACCTGTACAAAAACATATTTTATCTCTTATTTGTAAGAGCAATGAAAGTGTGTTTATTTAGATATGTTTCAGCATAGAAATATGACGACTAACTAAATATTGCTAATAATTAAATTATAAACTTTAAAATTCACAGTATGGTTTGATAACATTGTTTCTTTTTAGCTGACAGTTTCGACAGTGTATTGGCGAATGTTGAACATGCTTTAGTAGTCTTTTACGCCCCCTGGTGTGGACATTGCAAAAGAATTAAACCGGAGTTTGAGAAAGCAGCGGCTAGGATAAATATCGAAAATGTATGTATGCAAACTTTTCTATTACTTTATATGCTTAATAAACTATAACTAATGCATTCTAGTTGTGTACAGTATGGCAAATTAATTTGTGCCATGAAAAGGTAGATTTGTTATGCTATTACTATGGTAATCTTATATGTTAATGAGTTCTGTAGGAAATTTGACAAAATTTTAAACATATACTATGTTTCATATATAAACTAACCAAAAATATAAAAATCCTGGCCTTAGGTTGTTATAATCGGGTTCTTTATTACATCATGTTCTAAGAAATTAGTTTTATATTGTTTTGAAATATGCTATAGGTCTATAATATTTCTGGTCAGACTATATTATAGATTTGCATATTGATATCTACACTAATATTATAAACATGATACTTTGTAACAACTTAAAGTCTATTAGAGTCATCATCAACCTACCCTTATCCCTATTGACCGTCGGCACAGTATGTACTACTCCTCCATACATCTCTGTTAGTCGTCTTAAAGTGTATTAGAGTAATTACTAAAATTCTACCATTAATAAGTGAACCAATTGTTTATAATTTAATTAATTTTAGATCCCAGGTCTTTTAGCAGCCGTAGACGCGACTGTAGAATCAGGATTGGCTGCGCGTTTCGGTGTTAAAGGTTATCCAACTCTGAAGTATTTCAACAAGGGTCAATACAAATACGACGCCGGTCATGCCAGACAAGAGGAACAAATTGTGGACTTCATCAAGGTATTTATAGGCTTATAACTATTGAATCTAGTATGAAATGTATGAGATTGAACATTTAAAACTATTGTATTATAACATATAATTTTTAATTATAATCATAATAAATATATAATATTAAAGCTATATTTAAATGGAGGCACTTAAAATTCTATATATTTGACTTTGTATTTCATTATTTTTTTTTTAATTTTAGAATCCTCAAGAGCCGCCACCACCACCTCCGCCAGAAAAGCCCTGGTCTGAAGAGGAAGGCCAAGTTAGACATCTCAGTGAATCAACATTCAAAAATACACTCCGGAAGGTCAAACATGCAATAATAATGTTCTATGCACCATGTAAGTTAAATACAAGAATTAAAAATAAAAACTACAATTCTGTTATATTAAACCCTTATTGTGGCAAGATTTCTTTTTTGAGGAAAAGCAAAAAACAATGTTAAAAAAAACTAAGTTATAAATAATTTTATAGTGATTGTATATTTTTTTAAAGTTGTATGTATGGTATACTATACAAAATGAACATAAGGGTTAAAAGAAAGTGACTAAGACACTGATTAAATAACCTCCAAACAAATTTGCATAAAAGTAATAAACCTCACAATGTTATCCTTTGTTTTTGCATCAATTTGAAGCAGATTTTGTTCTAAACTAGCAACCGCCCGCGACATCGTCAGCGCAGAATTTCTATATAACACAATCTATTGTAACACAAGATATACCAAATTAAATTTATAGATTTTAATTGTATGTATAGATTATATATTTGGAACACAAAACATATGTTTCCAGGGTGCGGACACTGCAAGAGTACTAAACCTGAATTCTCCGAAGCAGCGGAAACATTTGCTGATGAATTATCAGTTGTTTTTGGTGCTGTTGACTGTACAACTGAACAACAGCTGTGTTCTAATTACAAAGTGCGAGGATATCCTACATTAAAATACTTCAGTTACTTCAATAAACTTGTTGAAGAGTACAGTGGAGGACGGAAGGTATGTTATGTACATTGATATCTTAAATGTGCTCATATCGGCAAATTAATTTAAAGATATGTGTGAAGTTAACCCACACTGGGCCAGCGTAGTTGGCTATGGGTAAGTCGCCCCTTAGGGTAAGCTCTGAGCCCCAGTGGACACTAAAGTTAGCTAATGATGATTATAGTGCTCAGTAAAATTTTTTTGATGTCAAATCTCATTAAAATTCTTAAATAATTGACACACAACTTTTTACTAATATTATATATGTAAATGTATAGATGAATGGATGGATGGATGTTTAATTGAAGGTATCTCCAGAATGGTTGAACGGATCTTGATGAAAGTTGGCATAGATGTACAACATAGTCTGGAAGAAGACATACACTACTTATTAAGTTTTTAATTCGGTGCGAATGGATTCGTGGGCGACAGTTAGTTGTACTATAAATATTGTTATTTATTTCAGAAAGAAGATTTTATAACATTTATAAACAGTCAACGGGGCAAGCATGAGGCTCCGCAGAAACAAATGACAAGCCAGGAGGCCGGCTTTGGTGTTAATGTTCAGATGATCAATGATGATGACTTCCATACCATTATAGCATCCAAAACCCCCACATTTATCATGTTTTATGCTACATGTAAGTTAAAAAAAAATCCCATTTTTTTTGCTTTAAAACTGGTCTAATATACAAAGATTTCCATATCATAATTTCTAATTGACCCAGTTATTATTTGTGGCTATGTACGGTCCGCATATAATATTACTCTTATGTAGTTCTAATAAATTAACTTTTTGGTATTGTTTTCTCTTTTTTTTCTAAAATATTGCTTGATTCCAGGGTGCGGTCATTGCTCTACAGTGAAGCCGGTGTACAGTCGACTTGCGACTAAAATGAAGTCAATCGGTGGACCTGTCCTTGTCGCAGCTGTGGAAGCCTCTGATAATCCTAAAGTCGCAGACTACGCGAAGATAGAAACATTGCCAACATTCAAAATATACTCCAATGGTAATTTATTAGCTGATTATGATGGAGATAGATCCGCAGAAGACTTTGAAAGATTCTGTATGTCGCATGCTAAAAGGAAAGATGAACTGTGATTTAAATTCTAATTGTGTATCGTATCTGGTTTGAGTTGGCACGTGGTCCAAAAGGATTTACTTAATACCAACGTGCCAAATCAATCTGATACTATAAAGCGTCTTGCAATCTGATGTTTTACTGTCAAATTATTGGTCAATTAGTAAATAGTTTAAACATGTTTGTTCTCCTTTCGATACGTTTAATTCGGTATTTTTTTTTATTTAGGTACTTAATATTCGTATTTTTTTTGTATTTGAAAGTAAAAACTCATGATTTAATGTTACGTTAATAATTATCATCACAATATAAATAGCTTTAGATTTATTAAAATGCGTAATCTTAGTCAATATTATTGATTATTTTATTATTGCATCTATCTTAGTAAAATTGAATGCAATATTTTTTTTTTATTTTATATATTCTTTTTAAACTAATAAATACTGTTTTGTCAAAATAAAAATGCTTTAAAATGGTAATTAAAAAATAACTATACATTTTAATTCAAGCTAAAATTGTTCTTCGTTAAGGAAATTGCATGAACTGATCATTGTTAATTTAGATATAATTAAAGTTGTTTTCAGAATTGCATAAAGCTATTAAGAAAAAACTGATTAGGAATTATGGTCGAATCTCGAACAATAGATTAACAAAATTGAATTCCAATAACAATAAATTTCAAACTGTACTTAATTTACAAACATTACAAAAAAAAAACTTTTTCGAAAAGTTGAAATATCCTTAGAAATAAAAAAAAATGTTATTAAAAATCCTTGTTAAAATTTAATATCGTAGGATAAATATTTTTGATAATTGTTTTCGATTTATTATATCGAGGACATAAAAATATAGAAGAAGAATCATATCAAGGGGAAAGAATGTTTTTTGACCTTTTTCTCTATATTAATATGCACGCTTATAAATTTAATTTTCAAAGCAATACCTTTTATGTATTTATATAAAATGCATTTATTTCTTAGGTATTATTCCTCTATGTATTAAAAATATACTAGCATTTGTCACCGGTGTAGACAGGGATAGTTATCAATTTATTTATACATAAATATATCAGGATTTGAATGCAAATTTCGTATAAAATTGTCGATGACTTAATTTTAATTCTAAAATTTAATTACATCTTTTGTCACATAAATACTTTTTTGTTTATATTATTCTGTTTTTTTTTTTAAATAAGAACGTTTTTAAACCACAATATTTATAATAGTATTTTAAAATGTATTATTGCATATAACTTTGTATATTTAATATAATCAACGTAAGTTTATCATATCAAATATATTGCCTTTATATATATTGATAGAACTAAATAACACATTTAATTTATAATATTTAAAATAATTAATATACTGAATATATCAAATTTAGATTAAAATTGACAATAATCACTAGATATAAATATCTTATCTGGTATAGTTGTAGCTAAAAATAAATCTTCACATTTCTGTTCATCAGGTGTTAACTGTTTTTATCAATATTCGTTTGTGGTTCTGATTCTATCTCCCAGAACCTTCTAAGAAGTTCATTCTCATCTGGATGAATCATCAAATGGAATGAATGAAAACTAACTAAATTGTGACAATTGTTGAGAGTTTCGCTATGGCTGATTGCTTTAAGTTGACCAGATAAGATACATATATATATATATATTTCCAATTTACTATATGAGATATATAAATATGTTATTCCTAGTAACCTTGAGAACTAAACTGTCATATTTAGTAATTTTTAAATATATAAATATATTGCGGTTATATACGAACGGATTAAAATTATAGTTAACATTGTTGAAAAGCATATAAAGCTATTTTTTCATCGTTAAAAAATGGTCGTATTTTCATTAAGCGGTTACTAATTACAAAATCTGTTCGTAGCTTAAAGGCGTTATACTTATACAATAGTTAATAAAAAAACTTAACTAAATTTAACCAAGAAAATTGTTAAAGTTGCTGCGAATTGTTAACCATTGGTTTCTATTGACGAATTATACAAAAACGACTACACCTCATCTTAAAACACACAATAGTTTTTGTATTGTTTCGACAGTGGTAACCGACGGTTAAGTAGGTCAACATATTTTGGGCTTCCAAGTACTTATTGTGTAATACCATTGTTAAATGGTCTAAGAAATTGTTGTATATTGTTTATTACTTGAGTAAAGGCTGGCAACACATCTGCGGGGTTCCATGGGCGTCGGATCAAATAATTTTAGGCGATTCGAAGCTCGTTTGGCCCCTTCTATATAAAATAAAGTTCCATTTTACTGGTCAGGTTATAGTTGTAAACAATATGAAATTTTTTCTTAATTGTTTCCATTTTATTGTAATATGAAAAATCGTAGTTAAATAATATCGGTATATGTTATAGTTGTTTATATCGCTATATATTTGTATCGAGCTGAATATAACCTACTAATAATATTTTGAAAGATATTTGTCACGAGATTTTTAATAAAAAAATATGCAAAAAAATATTTTAGTGTTTCAATTTTTTTTGTTTAGATACCTTGAAACAAACATCCATTCAAACAGTTGCGTTTGGAATGTTAGTAAGATTAACCTTGAGTTTCCGAGACCAAAATCTCCGTTTGAAACATATTTTCATCTATCTTTTGTCAAAGATAATCAAGGACAGGGATAACGATATGTTTTATACAGATTTTGCTCTCCGAAACCCACGGTAAAATAAATTATGCTACTGTACAACATGAACTCAGTTTATTCATTTAACAATTAACTACAGCGCCATCTCGTGAGTTTCCAAATAATAATAAAGCTCTGCGAATTCGGGAAGTTACGCTCATTTCTCTGGACTAGATGGCAACAGGTTAACGTAGAAAGCGAACCTTTTATAAAGTTATTTGTATTTTTTATTTTGATTCAATTGTAAGTCACGATTGATATTTGTGCTACCGAATGAGTGTAAGCTGTTAAAAAAATACCTGGTTTTGACAGTGTTAAATTCTAGACGTATACGTCTCTACGGAGGGGATCGGGCCTATGTTGGGTATTTTTTGGTCTTAGCCAACTACACTTGTCTACTGATCTTACCATATGATTAAATTCTGTTTAATAAAATATTTAACTTAAAGAGCGTCGGTGGCTCAGGGGTCAAGCACTTGACTTGCAATCTGCAGGTCCTGGGTTCGAATTCCGCCATGTACCAATGTGTTTTTCGATTTTCATATGTATATTTATCTGACCTTCATACGGTGAAGGAAAACATCCCGATGCAACTTGCACATATCTGAGACGAAATTCAAAGATATGTGTGAACTTAACCAACCCGCACTTGGCCAGCGTGGATGGCTATGGCCTAATCATCCTTAACTTAGAGTAGGCTCCGAGCCCCTCGGTAGGGAAGTATAGTGAGCTGATGATGATGATTTAACCTTATGGTAAATGAAAAGTATTTTACGAGCGTTCCACATTCGCACAACATTGTGTTGGCAACTCTATGCGAGTTTATTTGCTTTATTTTCAATCGCCGGGGAGAATGCGTGAAAAAGTTTAGATTGCCACCAGTAAACTTTGCCTTAAAAGTAATTATATTGTCCACCTTTTCCAAGAATGAAACAGAACATTAAAAAGTTAAAATTACATTTAACCAATGTGGAAACATTCTTTTTTAACCTATGTATAACATTTTATTTAACATGTTTCAATAAGTTAGTTTTTAAAGTGTTTAGTTAGTAAATGTAAAAGTGTCCTTACATCTCATCTAAAAATCTTACGACCGCGATTCCGTCCACGTGGAATTAAAAAACCTAATTAGTAGTGTTCTTCCGAAGTATGTTCTACATCTATGCCAAATATCAGAGCGATCCATGCGGTCGTTCTGGAGATACATAACAAACAAACATCCATCCTAACATCGGCATTCATAATTTTAGCAAGATAACTAAATTGGGAAATTAAAGTTATGGTTAACTTACATAAAATTATGAATAATTTTAGTACAATGTTATGTTCAGATATCCTTTCTTGTGTTCAATATAAATTCTTATTAAAATATGCACTTTTAAAGTCTTCAGTATACAAAGTAGAGAAATATTGTCTTTTACAGTCAGGTATTAGGTCAAATGTTTAAAAAGTTTCGATAAGAAAATCTCAAATGGAACGCAGCTTATACAAATATGCGATAGTCGCGGGAACCAAGATTAGATTTTTGAACTTGCGAAGTAAGACGCATGTTGTTTATTTATTATTTAGGTAAATTCTAAAGACGATAAAAAGGGAACAAACAAAACTATACTTATGTAATCTAATATGTTCTAAAAAATAGCCCAAGAAGTCTTTAACGTCGATTTCAACTGCTTGAAAACGTCTACAAAAATATATTGTCATCTCTGTTTGTTCAAACGAAATGAAAGGGATGAGAATAAGTTTTTATACAGTTGTATCCGCAGTGAAAGACTACGATTATTTAGCTTTATACTGTTTATCGAATTTCTCTCTATGGTATTAAAGTTATCTTAAAGCTACGTTTAGAAGTAAATATTTCCCTGGCGAGCGCTTCAAGTTTTAGCTTAAGAATATTTCTTAACGTGAAATTCTGCTGCCAAAATACTTCTGCTAAAACATTGTTTGACAGGGACAAAGAGAACGATTATGTCAATAATTTTAAACATGTTTTTTGACAGTGGAAATTCTGCGGAACAAACAACTGACTACCTATTGCAGTGGCTTTGTACGAGTCTGTTTTGCAATAGAATTTTCAGTATTGATTTCTGTGTTCCTAAAAATGTGCAAAATATTTCGATTTTCTCCTTAAGTTGCATCATAAACAAAGAAATTTTACATTTAACTACATATACAAAACATCTTACTAATAGTATAAATGGATGTAGGGATATTTGTTAGATCTCCAAAACGGATGCATGGATCTCGTTGAAAATTGGTATAGATGTAGAACATAGTTAGGAAGAATACATAGGGTACTAATTAAGTATCTTTCTTAAATTCCGCGCAGACGGAGTCGCGTCCGCCAGCTAGTATACAATAATTTTTGTTTCAAAGCTCTCTGTATTTAACATTGACCTTACATAACAAAACGCATAGTTATAAACTTCGGTCTACTAGTTTTATCTTTATAGAATGAACAGTGCTTTGCAAACTTTGTAGCAATGTTAATGACTTCCTAATCTTCGGTTACAAGTCGTTTAGTAAAGCTTTTGTGCTCGTTCAACGCTAATGAAGTGGTTCATCATCATCAGCTCACTATACGTCTACACCGAGGGGCACGGAGCCTACCCTAAGTCAAGGGTGATTAATCTTTTAATCAACCACGCTGGCCCAGTGCGGGTTGGTTGACTTTACACAAGTGCACATATCTTTGAATT